AGCCGTTTTTGTGAGCCATGGAGAATGCGACTCCAACGAGACTGGCAGAAGCCTCGAGTCCGCCTGGAGTGAGCCCTGCACCTGAAATGTTGCCAAGTGCAGAAGGCCAAGATCATACAAGTGTGTACTTAGTTCGTCTTTGGTTCCTTCTTTGGTGCAACTGTGTGGAACAGTTGTTCCCTGATGCAGGCTCACAGATTAGCTTGTGCTACTTGTGAGTGAGTCTCCGGCCAGGTAGGGGCAAAAACCAGCAAAGCAAACCAAACAAACAGGTCAGGCGAGGAGACTCAGGTAAGTCACGCGGGTGACGAAGAGTGAGACTAAGATGAAACATATGGGGGCAGTGAATTGTTGCAAAAAAGCCTCAAAGTGAGCAGTTGCGAATGCAGGGCTGTCTTGTTTTCAGGCATCGGCAGTTGCACTTGGTTCAGTGGCCTGCTTTCACAGGCCGTTGCGCGAGGCATGCAATAAAGGCAGCGGCTAAGGGTGAAATTACTCTTGAATGTGGTCCATGGAAAACCACTGCAGTAAGGAAAGCCCTAGTGTGCCAAACGAAAGGGGAGTTCTTTGCCAGCAGTGTGACCTTTTCACGAGTGGTATGTTGCACTGTCTATGATTTATGGCTGTGTCAAGGCTCCACGAAGATGCAATGCTTATACAGCCTTTTGTTGCTTCCCTCCACAGGAGGGAGGGAAGTGGGATCACCTTGCCGTGGTGCACTCCAAAACGGCTCAGCTAGGAGCGCAGCAGGGTGGATCACAATTGCTGTGTTTGTGTGAGTCAAGCATTGTAAGTGCGGTTTGTCACTGTTCGTTCGACCAGATTGCTCGTGTCGCTTCAAGTGCTATGCTCTATGAGTGCGGAGAGCACATTATCACAGTGCTCGGTGTGATGGCCTGTTTAAACAGGCCTGTAGACCAAGTGGTTTGCAATCATTTCGAACCGCACTTCGGACAGCCCTTCTTATGGCCTTTTGCAGTGATTCATTGCCCAGTTTCTGTTTCACCAATCTGTTTCACCCTTGCATGCACATCCAAGAGTTTCCAACCCTGGTTTTCTTTTGGTTTTGGGGCGCTGTTTGTTTTTGTGTTTTGTTTGTGTTCGGCCCCCTTCATGATGGAGACTCTACAAAAACTGCACAAGCTGACCTGTGCATTTCCTGCATGAATGGCGGCTCGACTCGTGCAAAAAAGATCGAAATCATGATCGCTGGGAAGAATGATGCTCATTGGAAAGTTGATCTTGACAAGCGTGTTGCGTCGAGTTTACCGTCGAAGTCGAAAGGTTTTGTTTTCAGCCTGTCCACGAATTCTGCGCATAGCTTCCCACACATTCCGGTCTTGACAGACGGACATGATTGGTTCGTCACCTTTCTGTGACCGGCGACCGGGAGGATGTCACCATTGCAAGTGTTGTGTCTTAGATTGAACATTCTCAAGAGACACTTGGCAAAAGGAGAATTCGTCGACAAACCACAGCAAGGCCAGGAAGGCATGCATCAGGTGCGGTTGTGAAGACACATAAAAAAGAACGCGGACAGTTCTTTTCCACAGAGGCCTACAGCTTGCGTCAGAATCTCTGAGGTACGCCGTCATAAACAGTTGTTCTGAGCAGTAAATCAAAGCCGAGAGATTGAAGGTTCGTGTTTGAGTCCTTGTCAACGGATGCGATGGATGCAATGCAAGTGAAAGAAGTTCCAGCAACAGTTTGAGTTTTGCCATTCGGATGGCTCGTGTTTGCCCGCTCTACCGAGAGTTGATTTGACAAGGTCAAACAGGCAAGAAGTCTTCATTTTGTCCCGGGTGTGCATGTGCCCAAACTTTCGTCGCCAGGACATGTCGTGTCTTTTAGTTCAGATTCAAAGGAGTCAACGGTAATCACGCCTGTCGGAGACTTGAAGATTGCAACGCTGATCAGGTTTGTTGCAGGCCTTGTGATGTTGCTTGAGATCCCAGGATTGAACCCAGCGTTGAAGCCTGAGAGGTTTGAGAAGTTACCAGAGAAGACACAGAAACCAGTTGGTCTTCCCACGCATGAAAGAGCCACCATGGTTTTGGGTTGAAGGAAACACGACATCAAGATGCCCTGCGTGTCTTGGAGGAAAGGAGACTGGACATTCAGTGAAGTGTCGGAACAAATACAAGAAATATCTAGAGCAAGAGTACAAACGTATCGTGCCGTTGGATGAGGATGGACCCCCAAGGGAAATTGAGATTATTGATGGAAAGGATGAGTTGTTGTCCGAGCCTCAGGAAGAGCAAGAGAGATCGAAGATACCAGAGTCAGAGTCAGAGAAAGAGAAAGCCAAGAAGAGAAAAACCATTGATGAAGAATGGGATGAGTTTCACCGAGAGCATGAGGAGAGAGATAAGAGAGGTCAGAGATTTCCAGAGTTTGATGATGTTCCGTTCAAGAGACCACCAGAGAGTATCGGTCCAGATGATAGCCCAGCACTAATGGCAGACGTACCGAATCCTTACGAGCCCAGAGGATTACCGAGAGAAGTTGAGGATGATCGGATGAGCGATGGCCACGAGCCTACAGAAGTCCCAGAGACATTCGAAGTTCTTGAGTCACCAGAGAGTCCCATGGATCTAGATATTTTCCAAAAGGTACCAAAGGGAAGAAAGAATCGAAATCATGGACATTTAAGGTTTGCAAATCCTGCACAAGAAAGCAGTGCATTGGGTGCGAACATTCGCTCCTGGACAAGCGCTTCATATTGTTTGAAGCGCTAATCTGATTATGGTGCGAAACATTGTTGGCGTGTTGGTAGATTTTTGTGGAGAAAGTGCGTGTGAACTTGAAATTATGTCAGCAGAGCCACGTAGTTTGTATTGACAATGAAGTAATCAAGCAGCAAACTTTCCCTGATCGAATTTTGTATGAATTTTTCACTTTTAAAGTACCTTTTTTGAGTGACAACGATCCGATGCTTTTTTGCGGCTCCAGACTCTCAGTGAATAGATTTCACATGTTCAGCCGTTGTATTTCATTGAGCACCACGCCGGGTGGTGGAATGAACAGCATTGATGCAGCAAGCAAGGGACCAGGGCACTTTCGAGGCAGATCAATGAGAAGCAACAAGTTCTTGAACCCAATTTGGGGTTACCTGTGGTGAGCGTCGACGTTCAATGTGATCGAACTTTTTGGTAAACATTTCGACTACTGACCATCCGCACTTTACATGATGGCCCAACAAACCGCGTGATGCTCGGAAACTCATGCTAATTTGGTTTGTTCATGCAAACTTTCCGGTGCATGCTCGATTTCTTCTCGGCAACTTTCGAGAACAGCCAAGCTCAATGTGTATCAGGACATTTCTGCCAGTGATGTTTTGCACCCAGAATGAGAACTTTTGTTGAACTGTCTCATGTGGACATATTTGGTTTGATCATTTTCTTTCGGTTGGTGTTAGTTTTTCCATGTTCAATCTTAGTCTCAGTTGGGTGCTTTAAATGCAGCTTTGTGGACAGCTCTGATTCTTTGTAATTTGTCCGAGGCAGTTCAGAACTCTGGGAAGTGCGATTTGCCCCATTTTGCTGCGTGGCACTCGGAGGAGAAACTGTTTTTCCTTTTGACAGTGTATTTATGCTCGAGGCTTGACCACCAAAAGCGTTTGGAGCTAAACTACCCAAACGTTTTGAAACATCCTGCAATCCAACAACAGTTATATAGCAATTTTTACTCTCAAGTCCAGTTTCTTTTAGGACATAAGCGACACCGACCCGCTCCAATCGCTTGCTTCCAGGCCGCAAAATGTCAACCCTTTGTGCAGATATTGGTTATGCACTGAGGCACCAAACCGCGAACATTCAGGCCAAATGTGTCCCTTCTCCCGTGCTTTGGAACTGACAAATTGGAAGGCCCTGAGCTGCTGAATTCAGCCAAACCCCGCACTGCGAGTGTGTTTGTAGCGGAAAGGCCAGCGAGCATTGCACAACTGGAGTCGATCCACAAACCCAGGGAGCAATGTTCGCTACTAGGGGCTCCTGGCCTTACTACTAGGAGCAATGTTCGCTACTAGGAGCAAATGGCATCGCTTCTAGTAACAAGTGCCTTACTAGTAGTAACAAAGACGCTACTAAGGGCTCCTGGCCTTACTAGTAGTAACAATGTTCGCTACTAGTAACAAGTGCATCGCTTCTAGTCACAAAATGCATTTTGTGACTCCGAAAACTGTCGCAGAAAGCTTCCTCTGGAGCAGCTGCACGAGGAGGTTCCTCATGTGTTCTTTCGTGGCATGATGCACCTCCTATGAGGCACCTCCTATCATCATATGAGGCATTCCTTTTTCATTGTTTTGCTCAAAAAAGCAACCCAAACCTAAACAGGTAAGGGCCCTTACCTGCTTTCTTGTATAGATCATTTTTTCATTCCTTTCACATCAGTTTCACTTTTGCTCTTGCCTTTACGCCAATGCAATCTTAGGAATGTCTCTACTCCGCTTCACACAAGTGTCAGGATGTGGTTTTTGTGGGAAGCGCTTTTGCTTGTGGCCGCTGCCTGGCCACTTGCGCCCATCTTTTTGAAGGACAATCCAGGTGAGTTGTGCGACAGCGTTCTTGTCGTGAAGATTTATCCCGAGGTGGTCAAGTCCAAAACAATTCGCAATAAGACGATTATCTTTTCGTTTTTGCTTTCTCTTCTTTCTTAGGACCTTCAAACATTTTTTACCTTTCAACGTTTAATTTTCAATAGTTGCTTAAATCTTGGCAAGGGAGTCAACTCCATCACTTCAACACTTGAAATCGTGCAATCGCTGGACAGTCAGCTGAGCATGCACATTGCACTCATAATTATATACAAACATCGAACAATGCAAAAGATGACTTGGTTTCTCCAAACTTCAAGAAGAGAGGTCTTGATGTTAGGCAGCTTTGAGGGCTGTTTCGCGAATTGCTCTAGATGTGGCTTTACTTACTTTCATCGTGTAAGTAAAGCTTAGGGCCGGCACGGCTTGCTTGAAGAAGCCGTTGCTTAGTTGAAAGCATCAACTTATGCCGCGCTTGATGCAGCTCATGTCGGCATTCCTGGCTGCTGGGCTCCCACAGCCAGAGCCAGGTGACGTGTTGAAAGACGAAAATCAGCAAACACGGCGTGTTTATTGGATTTATTCACATGACTTGACTGACTTGACGATGTTATTTTTTCACTTTTTTTCAATAAGAGGCGAAAGCTGCAAAGATGACGAGTTCACTGTGCGTGTTCAACATGGCCTAGCGGGAGCGCTGCTTGGGGATTCCTTTGCTTGGAACCATGAGCAAAGACACTTGGAGACACAACCTTCGTCCGACTGCGATTGGCCTAACCGTTTTTTTTGGGACGAGACTGGTGGAGGGCCTCCGCAAGCACTTCGAAGCTTCAAGAACACCAGTAAGAAAAGTTTTCCCAGGTTTTGCCCGCATTGTAGAAACCGTGACATGTTGAGCCCTTAAATTAGAGGCCATCGCTCTTAGTTTCCCCAAACATCTAGGAACCAAATGAATAGTGCGAGGACTTTCCTGGGTCCCAGCTACTAGTAACTTCCTAGGTCCTGGGTCAAAAAAAGATGTCCGTTTCTCAGGCCACACAATCCTCATGTCATTTTTGTTGCATTGAACGCTCTGTTCGTGAGCCGAGCAACCAAGGCGATGTGTTTCTTTCGGATTTGTCTGAACAGGAGCTGGTGGAACACCGTCCGTAGTACCTGTACAAAGTAGGACATGAATCTAGGAACCAAATGAATAGTGCGTGAGCTATCTTGCGTTCACTGCTACTTAACTAAGTAGGAGCCTACTTAAGTGCGTAAAGGATAGGCAAAAGAATAGCCTACATAGAATTACTTAGTACAAAGTACCAAACCGACGTACAAAGACAACGGCTCTCAGTGGAGCTTCGCTGCCAGGAGCACAGCTGCCACGGCTTGGAGTTGTTGCACGCGCTGCGCTTTGTGTCGCTGGAGGGCTTCGAATTCCGCCGTTTCTCCCAATCTTGGAGGAAAGATGCAGAAAGACGGAATGCTTTTCGTTCATTCGTTTCAAGTAGTTTCAATGCCGCCAAGAAAGTTAGCTTGATATCTTGAGAACACGTTCTCAAGATCGACCGTATCGTCCTTTTATTTCAGGAGTTGGGCAGACTTTATGCATGAAGCTGAGCCAGACCGAAGTGCTTTCCCCAGTTTCAATAGAAATTGATGACTCGAGGTGTGTATGTTCGGGTCTGATGGGATGTCACTTTTCAAGGTTGGAGTCCTGGTAGCGTGGAGGCATTGAGCTTGCTGGAGCAGGGAGCAGAGCCAGAGGCATTCGGCATCAGAGAACGGCTTCCAACCTACTAGCAATGGCCTCCAATCTGCTAGCAAACATTCTTGCGCTAAACACGATTTTAAAAAAGAAGTTGAGGGTCTCTTCAATGAAGCACCTTTCAAGGAGGTAGAAGCATCACAAAGAAGCGACCCGTATCGCTTACCTCTTTTTTTTTGGGCATTTATGCGAAGAAATACTTTTGTTCTAAAAGAACCTTGCTTATTCTTGCGGCCTTAGGTCTTTGGCAGCAACAAACCACACACAAAAAAGAACTTAGGAACCCAGACATGGTCTTCCAGACATGATAGACCTGAACTTCCGAGCCGAAAGTGAAGCTTCCTTTGTTACTAGTAGCGTCCTCTTGTTCCTAGTAAGGCCAGGAGCTACTAGCAGCGTCCTTGCTCCCATAGCATCCTTGCTACTAGTCTGTTGGCCAAGCACCACTGACCTCCTTTCGAATCCCGTCCTTTCGGTTTGAAGAGAGGCGGTAGCTGGGCATTACGTCGACTTAGAAGCTGCGGCCCGTATACCAGCTGCGGCCTCGGACTTGAGAGAGCATTAAGCCGAGAATCGTTACGTCTGTTCGACTCTTCTGGCTCGGATGTTTCTTTGATCCTAGTAGCGTCCTTGCTCCTAGTAGTAAGGCACTTGTTTCTACTAGCTTCTTGTTACTACTAGTAAGGCACTTGTTACTAGTAGCGATGCACTTGTTACTAGTAGCGTCCTTGCTCCTAGTAGGGATGCCCTTTGCTCCTAGTAGCTTCCTGTTACGTTTTTTTGTTTCGAGAATCGGAGAGAACGTGTTTCCCGAAGGCATTGCTGCTTTTGGCTGAGCATGCGGATGACAATGGCTTGGTCATGGCATCGCAGGAAATGCAGAGAGTCACACATGAAAATCCCAAGGTGCAGTTCTGGTACCTACGACGTCTACGACCCTCCTTCCTTGACCTCTCTTGGAAGTCTTCCTTGTTTTCGTCTTTAGATTTCTGTCTAGTTCTCTTAGCGAAAGACATAAAAAGCAATTGATTCAATTCTAAGTTTACTTATTTCTCGTTTCTAGTAGCGTCTTTTTTTTCTAGTAGTAAGGCCAGGAGCCCCTAGTAGCGTCGTTGCTTCACTTCCTCCGTTTGGAGGTGCTGCAGTTTGGAGACTTCGTCCTCCGTGCCGCCCTGGCGTTGCTCCGGTCGCGGAAGCCCTGCAGCAGTGCAGAGCGCCAAGCCACGATGATTTCCGCGCTGCGGTCAGCGGCACAGGGTGCGAGCTGTGAGCATTTCCATGGCTTACTGGACGAGGTGAAACCCCGTGGCTTCTGGTTTTGCCTTGAGAGAGGTCTTTTGGACAACTTTGATCCAGTCTGATCAAGTGAATTTTCGTTCTTGGGACGAAAAGGAGAGCAGGAGCAAAAGCTGGCTTACCTGAGCATATCAGATCCCTCTTGCTGCTTTGTGCAGGTGTTGACGGAAGTTCAAAGTCGAGCATCCATCCTCTCTGTCACGGGTGAGCTAAGTGGATCTCTGGCGACTCTCCATTCAGACAAAGAGGTGCGGGAGAGCTCGGGAAAACTCCAGACACATTAGAACTCATATCCAACTATATATGTATGTTGATGTTGTTATGTATTCATTTGGATGGAAGGATGTTGTGAGTCTGAGTGGTTCAGCAACGAGTAATCGCGAAAAGGAGCTGTTCACATGTGGGCGATGGAATCCTCAAACTGCAGAGTCACAACACAGCACACTTTGATGGCATCCGGCATCCACGCTCAAAACATAGGTCTCCGGTAAGGTCTTAGTGGTACCTCGTCTCCATCAATCTGTGCCAGAGGCGGGATGCCATCAAAGTGTGATTCCGTATAAATCTGTAACTCGTCAACGAGCATGTTCGTTCGCTGCTAGTAACGAAGGGCATCGCTACTAGGAACAAGGACGCTACTAGGGGCTCCTGGCCTTACTACTAGGAACAAGGACGCTACTAGTAGCAGATTGACGGATGCTCCCAGTTCGCTCCGACTCCCTGTGTGTTGTGTGACACGAGGTCATTGGTCGTTTGACTGCCAGTGGTGACGCACCGGGCGACGAGGCAAGCGAAAGAAAGAGAGAAAGAAAGAACAGGTCTAAAGGTCTAAAGAAGAAGAATAATGACAAGCGAAAACAACAGAAAGAACAGTATTCAACAATATATGCTATTTCAGTTTTCGCCTTCTTTTAAGTTCAAGAAAGCATATGACTGATGTCAAGGTGCAGAGTGAGAAGACCTCCTTTGCGATCCCCGCTATTTTGTGGTTTGTGCTTGCCTCGAAGTGCCGTGCGGTTGTGAACCCAGAAATGAAGGCTGCAGCGCCGTTTTGCCTTCCCATATTTTTTCGACACTGTCTTTCCAGCCTTTCTTCCTTTCTTTAGCCTTCCTTCTTTAACTTTGTCATATCGTTTGAGGTGTTGGCCTATGACTCGCTCACCACCGCGCTCAATGCGAGCAACTTGCTAGGTGGAGCGACCACAGGCCGTGCCATTTTTGTGGCATTGCTGTTTGCCTGCCGCGATGGAGTCTTTGGCCTCACATCTTGGACTTTTGTTTTGACTCCGGCCACTACTAGGAGCAAGAGGACGCTACTAGGAACAAAGGGCATCGCTACTAGGAGCAAAGGACGCTACTAGGGGCTCCTGGCCGTACTACTAGGAGCAAGTAGCTACTAGGGAGCAATAGAACCTACCAGAGCAATGGCCTCCAACCTAATAACTACTAATAGCGTCCTTGCTCCGTTCGTAGCGATGCCAGGAGCCTCTAGTAGCTTCTTGCTCCTAGTAGTAAGGCCAGGAGCCCCTAACAGCTTCTTGTTCCTAAGCAAATTCTTTCCTTTTATCTATCCCTTTTCAATGTTCGATTCATCATTTCTTTGCTCGCTTGGTTCGTCGTTTCCTGTTTGAGCGCTCCACACAGTTGAGGTCGAATCTCTGCCGCTGCAGTTTGAGCATCTACCGCTCAGCTTCAAGCCCCTTTGGTCTGCACCTGTTCTTCGGCTCTGCTCAAAACCAGGTGCTTCGCAGTGGAAGAATGCTTCTCAGTCTCCCAAGTTCGAGAAGTCTCTTTTTATCGGATAAAGAACACTCAATTTCCTTCCGACTCTGGTGTTTAGCCTACTTTCTTTCTTGGATGCCATTTGCAATCAGGTTGGAGCCATTGCTATTGTTTACCTCTGTGTTTACTTTTATATACTTGTATTGGAGCCAGGCACTTGCCATCAACCAGGCAAAGCTCGTCGTTTACACGGTGCTGCTCGTTCAAAACTCTTTCCAGCCTTGGCGGCCTTGGCGATGCCGATTCGACATCCTTTTTTTCTTTCTCTTTTTTTGAGACCTCTCATCTTTGGACTCTTTTCTTTTGATCTTTTCGAATGAAGGAGTGTGGTGCATGCAATAAGGTTGCAAGTTGCAAGTCTCCACAGTTTTTTGGCATTAAGGTTGCAGTCGATGCCGTAATCCTGCCAGAGTTTACTTGCACTTCTGGACGCCACTACGAGAATATGAGAAACACAACTTGCGGAGAAACACAACAAGCTTCTTGTGTAGTGTCATGTTCGGCATCTAACAGTTCTAGGAGACATTGCGACAAACGCGAAGCACTAAGAATCACCTTAGGCCACTGCTATCGGATTTTCATGCGCTTTAATGGAAGCGCCTTGCTGGAAAGTAGCAGCCCTGAAGCTCAACCGCTTGATTGGGATGAGGAGAAAGTCTAGGAGAAATGTTGTAAAAATGATGAACATCAGAACATTGGGATAGGAGACAACACATCATAAGAATGCTATTGAACTGACCGCTGTGAGGAGGAAGATGGTCCGTGGAGGCCTCCAGACTTGGCAGCCACCTGTTTAGCTCGATATTTTCAGCCCCTTGGCTTTCGCACGGTCCTAGGTCATGTCCTATAGGTTGGAGGCCATCGCTACTAGGAGCAAGGATGCTACTAGGAGCAAAGGACGCTACTAGGGGCAAAGGGCATCGCTACTAGTAGCAAGGACGCTACTAGGGGCTCCTGGCCTTACTACTAGGAGCAAGGATGCTACTATGTTGGAGGCCATCGCTTTACGGGCTCCCGCGCGGTGCGAACGGTCTACGAATGACTGTGCCGGTCACGCAAAGACTGGTCTAGACGGCTCTGGGTTAGCACAAACAGCACATTGCTACAAGCAAAAAAGCTTGCTGGACAGCAAAACAGCATGCTGCGGCAGGATGTCTTCGAATTCTGCAGGTTTCTCATTCGAATTCTGCTTCCAGCGATGAGAAAGTGATGTGCAGCTTTCTCATGTTCGGTTGCTTGAGGTTCACGCTAGATTTCATTGCGGGGGCAGCACTGCCCAAAGTCAAAACATTTTGTGGTCAGGGCTGGAATGAATACGCAGGGCCCGCCACAGATGAGAGACCGTACACACGTGCTTGTGAAGATCCTCAGGTCTCTCCTGGATCCTGTGAGAGTGGATCTGGAACTGTTTAGTTGCGGGTTTCTGATGTATATATATATATATATGTATGTATATGCTGCTTAAGTTTCCCTAAAGGTCTAGAAACCAAATCATTAGGGCGGCGAGGGGAGCTTCCTTGAAGAAGCGTGAGCTATCCTGCTTCCTAAGTAGTAGCTACTTAAGCTACTAGCTACCTCTCCCTCACTTAATTAAGTAGGCGCCTACTTGATTAAGTAGGGAGGGGGGCGGAGCGGGCTTTAAAAAACAGTTGTTTTTGTTTTTTGCTTTCTTGAGAGGCAGAGAGACCTCAGGAACCGGCGAACACTATCAAGAGACCCAAGAGGCATTTTCACAAAAGCACGATTGAAATCCTAAAGATACAATAGACATCCCCTGAACAGAAATTGAGAGTTCGTTAGCAATTTCAAAGAACGTTTTTATGTCTCTCTCTCTATATATATATACACATGGAGATGTCGTAGAACCCTCGCGAAAGTTCAAGGAATCCCAACAAGGGATCCTCAAGGGGTCTTAAGGATTTTGGAGAAAGATTTCGCAGGAAGCATCAGAAGAACTTAAGACGTAAACACCAACAAAGGACCTTGTATAGGTCCCCAGCCAAATTCTGACAGGGATCACTTCAATTAGAAATCCAAGAAAACGCACCGCAATATTTCAAAAGAATCCGAAAGAAACCTTGTGTGCTAAGATATTGTAAGCGTACAAGATGAGTGTCAAAAAAGAAGAGAGATCCGTGAGTCAAAGAATGTATCAAGTGGACCTAGAAAGCCCTAAAGAAAACCTGCAAGGGGTTGCAGGCTGATTCTTTCTGGCACACTTTTGGATTTTTTGCCGGGCCAACTCTTGTAAAAAACCTAGAACAAGAAGAAGTTCCATTTCTGAGATCAGCCAATGTCAGAAAGCAGTCTTGCTATATCGTAGCAAAGGTTTGTTAAGGCAAATCGTGTAAATATCAGCAAGTGGCAGTAAAGGACAGTGTTTTTGCAAGCAGTAGCGCTGGACAGTTGGACAGTTGAGCATTAAGCCCAAACCAGCATGAATGACTGTTCGAGAGAGTGTTCAGATAGAAATATGACACAAAATCAGGAAAAGGAGCGATCGGACGCTACTAGGAGCAAAGGGACGCTACTAGGGGCATACTACTAGGATCAAAGTGTTGAGGTTCGACATTCTGTTTTCGTTTTAAGCTCAGCTGAGATTTGCCACCGTCAGCGGCCGCCATGCACCTTTCGGCCTTTGGCCAGCCAATGCCATGTGTGCCGTGGCTGGAAGGATTGATGGGACACAGAAAACCTTGTTGGGAAGACAAACGTTCTATAAGTGAAGACGAATGCTACTAGCTGAGCAAAGTGGAGTCAGAACAAAAGAAAGGTTCTGACAGGTCTAAAACGCTCCTGGCACCGCTACTAGGAGGAACAAGCTACTAGTAACAAAGGGCATCGCTACTAGGAGCAAGGATGCTACTAGGGGCTCCTGGCCTTACTACTCGTAACAAAAAGCTATAGGAGCAAGAAACTACTAGGAACAAAGGGCATCACTACTAGGAGCAAGGACACTACTAGGGGCTCCTGGCCTTACTACTCGTAACAAGAAGCTACTAGGAGCAAGGCTGCTACTAGGGGCTCCTGGCCTTACTACTCGTAACAAGAAGCTACTAGGAGCAAGAAGCTACTAGGAAAAAGGGCATCGCTACTAGGAGCAAGGACACTACTAGGGGCTCCTGGCCTTACTATTCGTAAAGACGCTACTAGGAACAAAGAGCATCGCTACTAGGAGCAAGGACGCTACTAGGGGCTCCTGGCCGTACTACTCGTATCAAGAAGCTACTAGGCACAAATCGCTACTAGGAGCAAGGACGCTACTTGGGGCTCCTGGCCTTACTACTCGTAACAAGAAGCTACTAGGAGCAAGAA